CATTTGAATGTACTATATTATTTGCAGTGGATACGGCTGGCTTTTGATTCATATTTCCAAAACGGATTTGATTTGATTCACAAGGGCCCGATTCAATTACATTGACGATTCACAATTCGCTTTGGTTGATTTTTGATTCAGTTAAGGGCGGATCTCATGTAGGACCAAATTTACTTTAATGTGGAAGATATTCTCAAAAGAAGCAGTGCTGCAAATAGAAACTTTGTGCATTAGTAAAAATAGGAATATTTACATAAGGAATTGAACCCAATACAGTGAAATTTGTCGTGTTTGATTCATTCAACACAAACAATAAATAATGTAAATAAATTCCAACCACAGGGCAGGCTGCGTAAATAAAGCGGCAAAAACACACTCCTCTTTTCACATTTTGAGGTTCTACTCGCACAACTATTTGAAACAAGTATGCAAATATGGCTCTGCATATTGTAATATTTCACAATGTATTCGTCCCCCGTCAGGCGAGCAACACACGTACAAGTGCTTGTCCTGCCCCTTCTCCTCCATGACCATCAGCCAGCTGAAGGAGCATTCGTTGCGAGACCACGGCGAGGCCCTCACCCTACCCAAACTGCGGGCCGCCACGCAGGCCGCTCACGCCGCCCTCCGGACCCCCACCCGACCGACCACAAATGCAGAGCACAGCCCCTTGACTCCGGAAGGTATGATGACATTCTCGAGACTGGGAAATTGGAGATGAGCGTTTTTAACAACCCATTTTTTTCCCCAAAAAAATAATTTCTAATTGCAACCTCAACTCGTTGGCAGCCAATCGCGGGGCAAGCATAGAAGAACAACCCTTCACACTCACACTCACACCCAAGAAAAATTTAGGGTGTTCAATGAACCCTCCATGCTTGTTTTTAGAATGTGGGAGAAAACCAGAGTAACCGGGGAAAAAACTCGAGCAGGCACGGGATGAACATGCAGATTCGAACCCTGGATCCCTGCTCCTCTTTCAGACACGTCATACTGGGAGCCAGCTGATGTCCGCGAGCAACTCAGCAATTACCAAATCTCCTCCCGGAGTCACACGTCCCCCAGCGACCATCGGCCCGACAGCATCCTCACCTGCGAGTTCTGTGAGTTCAGCTCAGGCTACATGCAGAGCCTGCGGCGACACTACCGGGACCGCCATGGTGGCAAGAAGCTCTTTAAGTGCAAGGACTGCACCTTCTTCACCTGCTACAAGTGAGACACCACTGTGCTGAATAATTGAAGCTGGAGATGATGTTAACAGCACTGGTTCTGTTCTCAGGAATACGTTCACCTTGCATGTGGAGGCGGGCCACAACAACAACAGCAACAACAACGTGCCAGAGGACGTCCGGAAAGAGCTTCGCTGCCCTCTCTGTCTCTACCACACCAAATACAAGAGCAGTATGATCGACCACGTTGTCCTGCACAGAGGTACACAAGCTGACTTAATACACTTCCGTGTTTGTCATTCAAAGGTCACAGCAGTCAAATAATACCCCCCTTAAAATTAGCGGGCTCTTCGTTTACATCAAAGCTCAGCGACAATTGGATCAGCTTATGACACACAATCGGGGGTGCAAGGCCATCCATCTCTACTTGCTCCACATCACATGCGCAGCCGACTATATCTGGGAGGGCGGATCTAGGAGTTTTCCAGTCTAAATGTACTCTGCACGCGCCAATCTTATGCACGGACCCTCGCGAGTCAATTTCTGCTTCTGCGATGTCAAGGACTCTGTGCACCACATCCTGATTTTAAAGGGAATTAGCTGGACGCCACTTCGGTTGGCCCGGGAGTCTGCTGCGTTCCGTCGCACGACGCAAAAGCCTTCTTCCATGGACACCATTGAGGTTGAGCAGGTGTACCAAATGTTCTCTTCATTTATTTTCACCAGAGGAGCGTGTGGGTCCGCTGGAGGTGAATCGTTCCAAGCTCTCGCGTCACCTCCAAGGCGTGGTGTTCCGCTGCCACAAGTGCACGTTCACGTGCTCCAGCGACCACGCCCTGCAGCTGCACCTGCACAAGCATGACCTCAAGCCCTACCGTTGCCAGCTGTGCTACTACGACAGCCGCCGCCGAAGCCAGCTGGAGGAGCACCTTCGCCTCGAGCACAAGGTCCGAAGCGTGAGAATCCATGCCTACGTCTTAGCTTTGCATTCTTCCACGCACACGTTGGATGTAAAGGAAAAGCTTATTGAGACTGTATGCGCAAATGACTTGTACTACTTTAAGTGCGTTGTTCTCCTAATGTTCAGACTTTACTCTCGCTACTAAGATCTTGTCACCTGGTACATTATATACACACTGGCAGATACTTAAAACCAAAAGGTACCAAAAAAGTGTGATCGGATCATCCCTAGATATCATTATTACTCCTCTTATTTAAAAAAACAGGAGATTTCAAATTTTCTGAAGGTACTATGCAGCAAACGTCTGAGAAAAGAACACACCCAGAAATGAATTCACGACGCTGAAGCAACGGCGGGCGACGGGGGGCCACCCGTGCGCCCAGTGCGACCGGGTCTTTATGTCCATGCAGGGCCTCCGTTCCCACGAGAGGAGCCACTCTGCCATGGCCATGATCATCAGGGAGGACAAGTACAGCTGCCAGTACTGCCAGTTTGTCTCACCCTTCAGACACAAGTGAGTGCAAGTAGCATCAGTAAAAGCAAATCAAAGTGGATATAATTGATGACCTTTTTTTATTTTTAAAATCCAAGTTTTGTGTTTATGTGCCCAATTATTTTTCTACAAACTACTTTTACAATACATAATATACAAAAAGATGTATTTTTGTAATTATCTTCATGGTTCAAATCAGTTTTATTTAAATTTATAACATTTTTAGGCCTGCAAATATCAATGAATAAATGAGTCATCTGCCGATTATTTATTTACTTTTTGATGAATTCATGTATCGGATACAAAACCTGATCTAAGGTCAATCTGTTCATTTAAATGATTTATTTAAACATTTACTTTTTTCATTCAAAAAAAACTCCAATAAATCCATTTTGTTTTAATTTTTTAAATAACTGCCGTGTATTTTTAAATTTAAATTAATCCTTTAAAAGTTCATCTGGTTTGATTTTTATTTACACATTCTTATAAATTAGACTGAGCAAGAACTCTCCGAGATCTGGGAATGGAGGGATTATCATTTTAACATGGCTAAAAGCTCAAAAAAAAAAAACTGATTTAATATTTATGAATTAAGGGCAACAAGTGGATGTCAAAAGGCATTTGTGATTACAATTTGCTGTTAACTAGTGTTAACTTTTTCTTTTTAAATCCCTCCCTTTTGAGTGTTTATGCTGCCACGTTTATTTTTGCACAGGGAATACTTACACTTAAATCTGTTTATTTCCCCATTAAAAAAAAAAATGCTCCGAATGCGCGAAGATGTCCAGTCTGTTTGGGAACAGACACAAATTATTTTATCCATCAGACATGGAGCGATCAGGACCAAGAGTCAGGTGTAATCCCCATTGTATACTGTGCGTCCTGACCTAGAAACAGGCTCCACTCCCATGCCACCCAGGCAGGCTGGCATTCAAAACACAGCCAGCTTCCCCACAGGCATTCCCACCAGGGGATTGTGGGTTGATGAGTCCCCCTCTCTCCTCCACCGCCGCAGCTCTCTGTTCTGGAAAATGTACTTCAAAACCATAGCGCTGCTTGATTCCTGGCAGTTTGTCATCCATCCCTTTTGTTGTAGTTTCACCATTGTTTTTTTGAATGTCTTGTCTCCTCCTCTCTCTCTCTCGTCATTAGTCTGGACAGACACATGCAGTCTCACCACGGCCACCACAAACCCTTCAAGTGCAAACTATGCCCCTTTAAGTCTGCCTACGTGAGCCGTTTGAAGAGCCACCTGCACAAGGCACACACTGGTAAATATATAGAGCCGCATACCCATTATTGTTGCAAGAATTGTATAAATAATAGACCTAAATAGTATTGATAGAACAGAGAGAAGTTTGTAAGTGAGAAGGTTTTATGTTTGATGTAATCATTTTAATGTACTATATTATTTGCAGTGGATACGGCTGGCTTTTGATTCATATTTCCAAAACGGATTTGATTTGATTCACAAGGGCCCGATTCAATTACATTGACGATTCACAATTCGCTTTGGTTGATTTTTGATTCAGTTAAGGGCGGATCTCATGTAGGACCAAATTTACTTTAATGTGGAAGATATTCTCAAAAGAAGCAGTGCTGCAAATAGAAACTTTGTGCATTAGTAAAAATAGGAATATTTACATAAGGAATTGAACCCAATACAGTGAAATTTGTCGTGTTTGATTCATTCAACACAAACAATAAATAATGTAAATAAATTCCAACCACAGGGCAGGCTGCGTAAATAAAGCGGCAAAAACACACTCCTCTTTTCACATTTTGAGGTTCTACTCGCACAACTATTTGAAACAAGTATGCAAATATGGCTCTGCATATTGTAATATTTCACAATGTATTCGTCCCCCGTCAGGCGAGCAACACACGTACAAGTGCTTGTCCTGCCCCTTCTCCTCCATGACCATCAGCCAGCTGAAGGAGCATTCGTTGCGAGACCACGGCGAGGCCCTCACCCTACCCAAACTGCGGGCCGCCACGCAGGCCGCTCACGCCGCCCTCCGGACCCCCACCCGACCGACCACAAATGCAGAGCACAGCCCCTTGACTCCGGAAGGTATGATGACATTCTCGAGACTGGGAAATTGGAGATGAGCGTTTTTAACAACCCATTTTTTTCCCCAAAAAAATAATTTCTAATTGCAACCTCAACTCGTTGGCAGCCAATCGCGGGGCAAGCATAGAAGAACAACCCTTCACACTCACACTCACACCCAAGAAAAATTTAGGGTGTTCAATGAACCCTCCATGCTTGTTTTTAGAATGTGGGAGAAAACCAGAGTAACCGGGGAAAAAACTCGAGCAGGCACGGGATGAACATGCAGATTCGAACCCTGGATCCCTGCTCCTCTTTCAGACACGTCATACTGGGAGCCAGCTGATGTCCGCGAGCAACTCAGCAATTACCAAATCTCCTCCCGGAGTCACACGTCCCCCAGCGACCATCGGCCCGACAGCATCCTCACCTGCGAGTTCTGTGAGTTCAGCTCAGGCTACATGCAGAGCCTGCGGCGACACTACCGGGACCGCCATGGTGGCAAGAAGCTCTTTAAGTGCAAGGACTGCACCTTCTTCACCTGCTACAAGTGAGACACCACTGTGCTGAATAATTGAAGCTGGAGATGATGTTAACAGCACTGGTTCTGTTCTCAGGAATACGTTCACCTTGCATGTGGAGGCGGGCCACAACAACAACAGCAACAACAACGTGCCAGAGGACGTCCGGAAAGAGCTTCGCTGCCCTCTCTGTCTCTACCACACCAAATACAAGAGCAGTATGATCGACCACGTTGTCCTGCACAGAGGTACACAAGCTGACTTAATACACTTCCGTGTTTGTCATTCAAAGGTCACAGCAGTCAAATAATACCCCCCTTAAAATTAGCGGGCTCTTCGTTTACATCAAAGCTCAGCGACAATTGGATCAGCTTATGACACACAATCGGGGGTGCAAGGCCATCCGTCTCTACTTGCTCCGCATCACATGCGCAGCCGACTATATCTGCGAGGGCGGATCTAGGAGTTTTCCAGTCTAAACGTACTCTGCACGGGCCAATCTTATGCACGGACCCTCGCGAGTCAATTTCTGCTTCTGCGATGTCAAGGACTCTGTGCACCACATCCTGATTTTAAAGGGAATTAGCTGGACGCCACTTCGGTTGGCCCGGGAGTCTGCTGCGTTCCGTCGCACGATGCAAAAGCCTTCTTCCATGGACACCATTGAGGTTGAGCAGGTGTACCAAATGTTCCGTTCATTTATTTTCACCAGAGGAGCGTGTGGGTCCGCTGGAGGTGAATCGTTCCAAGCTCTCGCGTCACCTCCAAGGCGTGGTGTTCCGCTGCCACAAGTGCACGTTCACGTGCTCCAGCGACCACGCCCTGCAGCTGCACCTGCACAAGCATGACCTCAAGCCCTACCGTTGCCAGCTGTGCTACTACGACAGCCGCCGCCGAAGCCAGCTGGAGGAGCACCTTCGCCTCGAGCACAAGGTCCGAAGCGTGAGAATCCATGCCTACGCCTTAGCTTTGCGTTCTTCCACGCACACGTTGGATGTAAAGGAAAAGCTTATTGAGACTGTATGCGCAAATGACTTGTACTACTTTAAGTGCGTTGTTCTCCTAATGTTCAGACTTTACTCTCGCTACTAAGATCTTGTCACCTGGTACATTATATACACACTGGCAGATACTTAAAACCAAAAGGTACCAAAAAAGTGTGATCGGATCATCCCTAGATATCATTATTACTCCTCTTATTTAAAAAAACAGGAGATTTCAAATTTTCTGAAGGTACTATGCAGCAAACGTCTGAGAAAAGAACACACCCAGAAATGAATTTTCCAGTGGTAAGTCAAACTCAAAGGAGACATTGTGGTTGTGATCAGGTCATCCGGAACTTTGAGCTGATGGGCCGCGTAAACTTAGACCAGCTGGAGATGATGGAGGAGCAGGAAAACAGCAGCAGTGACGAGGAGCAGGAGCAGCGGGAGGAGCTGGAGATTGGGGAGGAGGAACAAAAGGAGGAAGAACAAGAGCAGGGCGACGGGATGGAGATGGCCGTAGATGAAAGCGTCGCTGCGGCAGATGAGGTTGAAGGCACGGAGGCGAAGGAGAACCCGGGAGAGGAAGAGGGAGGCGTGGAGGAGGACGAGCAGGAGGGCAGCATCAGAGAGGAAGAGGAAAACGAGGAGGAGTTCAAAGAGGTGGAAGAAGAGAGGACCGCACGACAAGGTTTCCTATCAAAGCAATTTTACGATCGAAGTCATAAATCAATCCCAAACTGGAGCATCCATGAAACTCTTGTTTCCTAGAAGTCCTTGCTTCTCCAATGAGCAGCAGCAGCAGCAGCTCTGGAGAGAAGCGTCTTCCCTGTGAATTCTGTGGACGCTGCTTCACTAACAATGTGGACTGGGAACGCCATGTCCTTCGTCACGGCATGTAAGTCACAATCTTGTAAAATGACACATTGAAGCTATCTCATGGGTTTCAATGTGGTCTTCTACCACCATGCAATTCTATTGTCAAGTACATGATCTCTTCTAGGACGGTGAACAATAGTCAACCGGACACCAGCACAAACTTGAACTTGGAGGCCTCAGCCCCATCCTCCCTCTCTTCCACTTCCGTCGACACTGGACCGGAACTTTCCACCAACCGGGATGAGGAGCAGAACACTTTGACTCTTTCACCGGGTCAGCACGCGGACGATGGGGAGCTGCTTGATGCTAAAAAGGATCAACAGTCGGGTTGACCCGATTGGGACTTTTCGAGGATAGGTTAAAACAGGACGTCTAAGGAAATTAAACAAAAGAGCGCATCATTAGATTGTAGGTGTTATAAATATATATTCAAGTATTAGGTTGTGCTGCTTTAAAAAAAAAAAAAAGAAAGAAAAAAAAGCTGGCGGTCCCCTAGGACAGATTTTAATATATTGGTAACCAATAGTGAACTTTATTGCTGACATTCTGGTCAAAAAGTACAGTGAAAGATGCCACCTATCTATATACAAATTATTTATAGAGAATGTTGTCCCAAAATGATTATCCAAATTGAGAGTATTTGAAGCACCTTTGACACTTACACATGGAAAAAAAAAAACAAACCAAACAATGTAGAGAGCTACCTTATCTTTTTCCCATTCAAGCCTTGTGTTACCACATGTAGTCTGGCTCACACCTTATCCAGTTTACTACTAATGCTCATTGGTAGAAACAATTGACTTCCCCATGTTGTGTAGCAAATTGCTATCTTTAGATCCTTTATGATATAATTATTATACTACGTATAAGCCTTCAGTCCCTAATTGTCTGGACTGTACTGTTTAGAATGATTGTGCGGTAAATGTTTTCGTTTTCAACCCAGGTTATCAATATCACCATCGAAGGTCGGTGGATGCGCACGATGACAACAAATTGAGGAGTCAGGTTTCTATCTGAACTACAGGTTAGCATCTCAATTTAAGGTGCTAAAGGTTGCACTTGTCGATTTTGGTCATGAATCAATCAAATCGCGATTAATGTCGCCTTGAAACAAATTAACTACAAAATGAAGTGCACTGCTGGGCTGCAACTAGGAAAGCTGCCGTGGTGTCACTCAACGAGTTTTTTGTTTGAAGACCACAACATGACGTCAGCACTACTACAAAATGAAGTGCACTGCTGGGCTGCAACTAGTAAAGCTGCCGTGGAGTCACTCAACTAGTTTTGTTTGAAGACGACAACATGACGTCAGCACCCGGAAGTTGGAACCAGATCCACGGCGGTCAGCATTATTCTGCATAGAAACAGGAGTTCAGAACATTCAACAATTCGCCGATTGTGATTGTTTCCTCATAGTTGAATAATGGAATTCCATTTTCGCAACATCATGTGAATAGAAAAGTTGTAGTCAACAGATAACTTGTTAAAAATAAAAATTGCCAGCAAATTTGACGCTAATGAAGTAGAAACACGTTTGACTGCTTATCATTCAGCCAACAATTTTGGTCATTCTCGTTCCATCTTTTTCCAGCTTGGGGTCCTCTGTTTATGATGCAGTTTTAAACGGTACCAAGTCGAAGTGTGTCGTAGTCCATCGCCACAAATGTGGGAACTATCATAAATGCAGACCCAAATACAGAGACAAGTGCAACCTTCACAAAAGCCTAGGGTTTTTTTTAATTATAATTTCATTTCAATGATCGCCCCCTTACTTTTCCTGTGTCATTGTCTACGTTTGTGCTTCTTTTCAATCATAGAAAACAAAAAAGGAATAGATTGTATTTGTGTTGAAAGTTGCTGCTTGAATGCCCTAAGCCTTATGATGAGGAAAAAAATATATCGAAATCAGACGTTCGTCAAATGCCCAAATTAGCGCTGTTACGAAGAAAAAAAAAAATCAAGCGCCTTTGATAAGTATTTTCATGTGTCATCCAACTAGCTGTCAAGCCTGCTGTGTTGCGCTGCTGTTGATGTCTTTGTCGTCAGCGGACAAAAGGGAAAGTCCAACTGGCATCCGTGTAAAAAACTACTCGTTACGTGTTTGAACTGTGGTCTTTCGAAAAGGATACGATAAAGCCCTTCCCACCCCCCACCCCCGACCTTGTTACGCTGAAAAAATAAATAGCACAGTTGACGCATCCCAGACTTGCTGTACAAATTCCGTTAACAATGGGGAAAGGAATTGCCCTTGGAACCATGTTTGAGTAATTCAGCAGTTGCTTTAAACGACAACAAGCCATCCATCCATTATCCGAGCCGCTTATCCTCACGTGGGTCATGAGCGTTCTGGAGCCTATCTCAACTGTCTTGGCAGTAGGCAGGGAGCACCCTGGAACCATCAGCAAAATATTTAAATACTGGCAGTGTGAAAAGGGGTCTACAACACGTCCACGTAAATCTGTTACGGCTTTGATACAATCTCTGAAGGTAGAAAATAGCTTGGTTGATTTTGTACCCCTCATTCCGTGTGAGTGCTTGAAAGCAACAGCGGAACAATACAATGGCTGTTATTGGCGCACACCTTCCCATCGCTGTTAGGGCTCTGCTCTGATACTACCTCCAAAGGCAGAAAATGGCCCGGGTTGATTTCCTACACCTTTCCATTCGTACAGCATAGCTGCTTCATGAGTTAACCCGTCAGTCACCTGAGATCCGGTTGCCGCTATCCCAGACATTTGTATCTGTCCCCATTCGTCCGTAGTTGGCAGAGCGTGGATGTGGCAACCTGTCTGTCCTCTTACTCGACTTAAGTGTAGCGATCGGGTCGATGCCGAGTTGTCATCTCCCACTTGGACCTCCTCCCATTGTTAAAACCAGATGCCGGGACAAACTCGGAATTTGAGGCTCTCCAAGCTTTAATTTTTTTTTTTTTTTTTGGTGGTTTTCTATTGATATTGAATAGTTTGTGACTATGAATCTCATTCATTGTGTCATCACAGTCTCGTTCTGGCTGTAAGAAAATAAAAATAAACCTCCTGCTTGACCCAAAGTTGAGTCCCTGCTGAGAACACACTGGATATATACTTTGTACATGGTTTTGTTTTGTTTTTTAGGTTGACACTAGAATCAGTCCTATGCCGTTTTTCCCCTTAAATCCCTGATATGGTGGGTTGTGATCGTTGCCTAGGATGATTGTTTACAATTTGATTCCATGTTATCTCCGGATATTCTGTACATATTGTAATTCATTGTCTTTTTTTAACTTGATAATAAAGTTATCAGATAACGCTCGTACGTCTTCCCATTTGTTGTGCGCAAATGTCATTTAATATTAGCATACTGGCTGTCTTTTGAGGGTTGGGGTGTTGAGATATGTTCTCACGTCTGATGTCAAGTCTGAGCACGATGTTCAGAGCGCAGAGGATCAGATTTTTAATCTGCCGCTTACTGCTTCAGATGAGGGGCAAAGGAGGACATGACGTGAATGTTTGCCAACCCTGTGAGTGAAGATGAAGCCTCCGCGCTGAAAAAGTCCAGATGGATAGAGGCTGATGTAAAGATTGACACTGATACATTTGTTGCATATGTGACTTCAGATCAGCGATTCCCTCACTTAGTACTGAGTGCAAGTAGCCCAATCAATAGAAGATAAATGCATGGATTGTTCTGACTTGATTACAAGCAATATGCATAAAATAATGCTGATGGTATTCCTTCGGATTTAAATAAAATGCTTCTGTGTATGTGAGAGAGAGAGCGAGCGAGAGAGACAGAGACAGACGCACACACTCAGAAACGACTATATGTTGCGTTCCAGGTAACTCGTAAAAATAATAAAGTAAACATACGGAAGTAACGTCACACTTCAAGGACCTCTAAAGAACACACGCACTGTTTACGTAATGGAATTTAAAGAATAATGTATAAAGACATGGACGTCGTGGTTATACTCTTACCTAAGCGGACAAAGATGAGCACACTCAACACGAGTCATTGGATGTCCCAGTGCATACGAACGCAACATCTAAAATAAATATATAAAAATAACAACCAGACAACTGAATAAAAGGAACACGTTAAACGTTTTATTTAAAAACAATATACATAGATACGTATACCAAGTATTCTTAAGTAATATTATTGACGCGTTTGTTTTAATGTGAATATGTGACGTAAATGTAAAATAGAATTTGATGTAGAAGAAGAGTGCATAACCGTAGAAGAAGAGTCGCGCTAAACCGTCATGGCGCCTGACAGTTTGTAATGTGACAGCGAAAGCATCAGAGTCCTGCAAGTTTATTACATCCCCTTTGCACCGTGTCTGTGGATATCACGCCGCCGCCATAATGCAGATCACTTTGAAAACTTTACAACAGCAGACGTTCAAAATCGACATTGACGAGGAGGAAACGGTAGGAGTCGAAAAAAATCATCAAGAGAGTAGGAGGGGGCGGAGGGCTGGAAGCAGGACTATTTGTGTGACCATTTTGTGTAAACCACCTCTTTGTATGGCTCCAAAAACTAATAGTGTATGTATAAGAACTTTCAGAATGTATACATCTTAAGTTTTATGTGAATTGATCGTCACGGTCGTGATTGTACTGACTGAAAAGTCATCAGTGTCTAGCCCAAGCCTCCTACTATTACAATGTGAAATAAAGCCATACTGCCTCGCCATAATGAACGTGCAGAACGTTCTGTTTCAGACCACTATTTAATGCGAATCTGTACACAAATTTGTTTCATAAACATTTTACTGATATCTTACAGAGGCTAGCTAGATAACAAGAGACCTTGATAACATCCAGAGTGACTTCCAGTTATAGACAAACGACTCCTTCGTTCAGTGAGACTTCAGCTTCAGTTTATGGCCACAAAGTACACTTTAGACCTTGTTCTGGATGCCTTTGAATGTGTGGAGCTGATCCTAATGTTGTGGTTGGGTATATACTATTGTTTAAAATAGTAAAATGATAATTTAATGTATCATGTTTTGGTTAAAGGTAACAACATTAAAAGAGAGGATTGAACATGAGAAGGGCAAGGACAATTTTCCTGTTGCTGGGCAGAAACTCATCTATGCTGGTACTGAATTCTATCTTTACTATAGTATTTTGTTTCACTTACTGTTTAAGATGAATGTATTATTTGTTATATTTTAAGATTAATTAGTCATTTCTCAATGTACGGTTGTGCCTTGAAATGTAAATTTAATTCATTCCCTAACCATGGTCATAATTCAAAACAGTTGGATCTCTTGTTTAAATGCCATTAATCCATTCCAGCCTTTCATAAGAAAACTAGCTCTCTATAATATTTTCAATATGACATTGATATGCTAATTGAATGTCAAGAAATTAACCAGTTTTGCCACATTTTTTGGCTTTACTTCCATGGACATTGTGCTTCTGCTTCTGGATTGTGTGCCTTGGCCACTAGGGGTCATTATAATCCAGTCATTTGTTTTGTTTGTTTGTAAAATTAAAAGAAGAAAAAACAGAAAGTAAGTTGAGTAACTTGTATCTCGAGGCACCACTGTACTGTATGTTCAATAAATGTTTCAATAGTCGCCAATAATACATTGGAGTGGAGTATATTTTCAAATTTGGTTGAAATGATCTTAACATATGTTTACGCCTCCCACAGGTAAAATCCTCAGCGATGACTCTGTCCTCAAAGAATACAAAATTGATGAAAAGAACTTTGTGGTCGTCATGGTGACAAAGGTATCACCGTACCTTTTGTTTTTCAAATTTTGAAATCACTCAATCAATAATAAGATGTAAATCAGGCAGCAAAGTTTTTTTTTTTTTTTTTAATTGTTTTCTCCAGATAGTCCAGCTTCCTGTCACATTCTAATAACATCCATGTTAGGTTCATTGACTGTGCAGCTGTTATAGGCCCCAGCTCCCGTGCCCCGAATGAGAACAAGAAGTATAGAACTGGATGGATATAACCGAAATAAATGTTGTGGTTTTGTGTCTTGATCAAGCCTAAGAAGGCCCCCTCTGCATCTCAGCCGTCACCAGCTGTGTCAACGGCAGACACAGCGCCTCCACCGACGCCGCCGTCCGCCTTGCACAATCCAACTGAGCGACTTCCGGCGGACGGGCAAGCAGAAGCAAGGCGACCTCCTCCTGCTGCTGCTGCGTCGGCTTCGGCCGCCACTGCCAACGCGGTGCCTCCCTCGTCGGGGTAACTGTGAAAATCGCAGTCATGTCCTACATTTTGTGGCATTGACGATCCTAACTCATCCCAGTCTGCTTTCTTTTGCAGCATCTGGGGGACCTTTGGCAACTTAATGGACGAGGCAGGTTCAAACGTTGGTAAGGCCATGTTTTCTTTTTAAGTTGAACATCATCTTTTATGTAATGCTGGTGGAGCTCTATCTGCTTTGAAATTTAAATAAACATCCCGGTGAAAGCCAAAAGTCCTCACCGTGATCATCAAAGTCACACAAGCTTAAAATTAAATTGACCACAAATGTAGCGTAACGCTAACACACACATAATACTCGGAACGCGACTGTCAAACACATGGTAGCTAGCAGCTAGTGCAAGAAGCTAACAGAGCAGGCGACAGCGTCCCTCACTACTCCTCCTTGCCAGTCATCACAAACAGATGAACTCAAAAGCAAATCAAAGGATTAGCAATAATGTCTGAGAGTCAAACGAGAACAAGAAGCTAATGTTTGCACTGCTTACAACCTCTCCCGGGTGCCCCCCTTTTTTTTTTTGCCGGCAAAAGGCACAATTTCAGTCACAGAAGACACCAAATGAAAGTCCTTTGTTCACCAAAAATTTGCTCAATATATTCGTTATTCTTTACTTCTGTTTATTGCAGTGTTAGTCGTAATAGGCAGGGAAACCAAAATTGCATTGCTAAGCAGTCTCCATCTTCACTTCCTACATGTCAAATACCACAAAAGTTGGCCAGTACCAGCTTCAGCTCTTTCCTGTCTACGTGACGTCAAACATTCTCCACGTCCTAAAATAGATAACAACGTTTAAAATGTGTCCTCCTCAACATTTGAGCCAACCATCAAAAGCGCTCCTTTGTTTACGTCGCAGTGACGGGCGCATCATATGACGCCATGGTGACAGAGATGATGCTGATGGGCTACGAGAGCGAGCAGGTTGTGGAGGCGCTAAGAGCCAGCTTCAACAACCCCGACCGAGCTGTGGAGTACCTCCTCTCGGTAAGAACTCGCAGTTAGTAGACAAGGCAAGTTTTCAACCTTTGACGGTGGTATCAGAATTGTAAAGATGCACTTTTGTAACGGTCTGTAAGAGTGCGCAGTTTTGCAGCTTTATTCTGTGTCGCTGTCGTTTGAAAGCAGCACTGCTGGGAGTGGTTTGGTTAGTTATGTCGCTGCACCTTGTACAGTTTACATTTCAAACCTTTCATGGCTCCTTCCCTAGGGTATTCCAGGCAGGGATCCGGTCCAGGCCAGAGGGTCCGACACCACGTTGAGTGGAGCTCCGGCCGGCCCCACGGGGGATATAAATGACCTCGACAACATGGGCGCCTCACAGGGTGCAAGTAGCTCGAGCGTCAGAAACAATGACTTCATGTTAAATCCTAACATAAGAGATTGACGTGATTGTTCTTCTGTCAGATAATCCGTTGAGTTTCTTAAGGAACCAGCCTCAGTTCCACATGATGCGGCACCTGATCCAGCAGAACGCTTCCCTGCTTCCTGCTCTGCTGCAAGAGATCGGGAGGGAAAACCCAGAGCTGCTGCAAGTAAGCGGAGACCCTGATTCATATGCCACATGCAATCTTTAAACCGCCATGGTGGCATCACAAAAACCAATTAATTTCATTTTCCCCCACCGCAGGAGATCAGCAACCACCAGGAGCACTTCATTCAGATGCTAAACGAGCCTCTCCCCGAGTCGCCCGGGCCCATGGCCCACGACTCCGGGAGCTCCGGAGGTGCGCCGGGCGACTCACAGAGCGGCAGTCACTTGAGCTACATTCAGGTCACCCCGCAGGAGAAGGAAGCCATCGAAAGGGTGAGCGCACGGGGCAAACGCCATTCGCATTTGTTGCCTATGATGTTTGGGTGGGGGGGAGGGGGGTTGTTTTGTTATTTGCTTAAGTCAACTATTGTGGGCATTTCAAGAGTTTGACAGTGATTTCCGGGATTGCAATTTCTTTTTTTTTTTCATCAATTATCAATTATTTTCATCAATTGATATCATTGGGAACATCTCAAGGAGTCATGGCTGGAATCGATCAGGAAGCCAACAGTTATGGTCCGAAGCAGCCATTTTGACAAACATGGTGTTTGTCAACTCACCAACTTGAAGCTTGACAGGAAGCATTGTTGCACTTTGAAGGTTCCACAAGGTGTGTTTATATCTAATTGGTGCATATCCTTTGTGTGTGCGTGTGTGTGTGCGTGTGTGTGTGCGTGTGTGTGCGTGTGTGTGTGCGTGTGTGTGTGTGTGTGTGTGTGTGTGTGTGTGTTGCAGTTAAAAGCGTTAGGCTTTCCCGAGGGACTGGTCATACAAGCTTACTTCGCGTGCGAGAAGAATGAGAATTTGGCCGCCAACTTCCTTTTACAGCAGAACTTTGATGACGATTGAGACGACCAACTTTTGCTTTTTTTGTTTTATTTCTTATGTTTGATTGCCACCATTGAATATAAGCCATTTACCAAACCTTACCCCCCAAAAATCGATTTCATTCACCATTATGTAGATTAATTTGTAGTTATGATTAATTTTCTTTTCTTTTCAAATCATGACACCATTTTTCTGTGTAAAGAAAAATCGGAATGGTAATCTCTACTCATAGCCAATGTCTTTTCTTTTTTAAATTTTTGAAAACTTGTGTGTCATCTTTGTTGTTGGACCCTCAATGTCTTATTTTTTTCTATGTATATATATATATTTTTGAAAACGTTTACTTGTGTGTCAATGATGTCATCTTTGTTCTTCGGACCCCCTCGGGTCCCCACCACCACACAAACCTTATCAGCATGTGAACCAGCTGAAGTTATGTGCTTTACACACATAATAAATAGACTTGTCTTTTAATCTTAAATAAATACCATATGATCTACTGTGTGTATGTCCTCCATTGCAACTATTTGACCTATTTGTTACTATTTCAGTTTAGTTTTGTATGTTCCATTTGTGTCAAATGCATTGAGTATTCTGAGCCCACAGTGCTGCGCTTTCACGAAGGTGCCGAGAGGGGGCGCGCTGATCTCCACCCTGCCGGTGAGTCACTGCATTTGCCATTACCAATTTCAGTCAGGCGACCGGTGGAGAGGTGCGGGAATCGATTCCGGCTGCTGAGGCTTCCTGTGTGAAGTTTGAATGTTGTCGCCGTACTCCGATTTCCTCCCACATTCCGAAAACACGCATGGCAGGTTAGCGAAACACAAAATTGTCCTTCAGTGTGATTGTGAGTGAATGGTTGTTCGTCTTAAGTGTGCCCTGCGAGTGACTGGCAACCAATTGATTGAGGGTGTACGTCGCGACCTTTGTGAGGATAAACGGATTAGAAAATGGATGGCTGATTTCTGGCAGGATTTCTAAAGCAACTTGAATAAGGTTTTATTTTTTAACTGTCATGACTAAAGCAGGAGTAAGGAACACCGGTTCCTTTGGAGCCGGATCCTGCCTGTTTTGGATCCCTACGACTACTTCAACACACCTGATTCAAATGATCTGCTCATCGTCAAACTGTCGAGACGTGAAACGATCATAAACAATTGAAATATTTGTACTTCAACTACAGACTACTTGTCGAGTGCAGTCAGTTAATAAAGTTCAGGCACCCTGCCCAATATAGTCTTCTCATATTGAAAAAAAAACCCAACTACTGTATCCTTATTTGAAATACATTTTATTATACCATAAAATACAAAACATTTAATAACAAAGTATTTTTTTATCTACAAATGTACAATGTTGAAGATTATATTACATTTTTTTTTAGTTGGGCATATATAAAAACAAAAAAAGAAAAACCTCAACCCTTTTTTTTTTTTGTTCAGAGTCACTCGTTCCATTATAAAAATAGCAAGGTTTCCTTATAAATTATTGCACTATGCAACTTGCAGTGCATTCTCAGATTGCCGTCGCCGCTCCAAAACCTGATTATTGAGTGTGGAAGAGAGGGGAAACACTAGATATTTGGCACTTAGTCACCGCGTCTTTGGTACCTTTTTGGGCAAAAGTCACAAAGCACCATTCGGTATAAATTAATTAACATTGTACCTGAAGTGACAGGTGAAATGTAGATATGTATAAATATAGCTGTGCATTATTAATACAGTGTCATTGGCGATTTAATGAAGGCCTCTGGACATTTTCCATGTGAGATTCCAGTTGCTGGTCCTCTTTGAGTTTGGTCACATAAATAAAGTTGACTTCCAGTTTTCGGTCCCGTTCTGACCCACGCTCGCAGGTCTCGTCTTGATTGTCTTTAGCTGCGAACGCCACAGCATGTCATTTTAATGTATCTTTCTTTGTTTGTTTTTTGGGAGTCCCCTCCTCACAAGTGTCTCTTCATGTGGAGGGCCAGGTGGTCCGATCTGGAGAAAGCCCGGTCACACTTCTGACACTGGAACGGCCGGTGGCCTGTGTGCTTCCTGTAGTGGCGCGTCAGCTCATCGGAGCGTGCGAATTTCCAGCCGCAGCCCTCCCAGTCACAATGGTAAGGCTTCTCTCCTAGTTGGTGGGACACAGAAAATGGAGGTCAGTGGAGTTCATATCAGGGTTATTCAGACCCATAAGCCATTTAAGACCCACGGGATGTTTTCTGTTCAGTGCATTCGAAATAATAAAAGTAAATACACATTAGGTTATAAAAACAAGTGAAAATGTTGAATGTTACGAGACTTATCTAAAAAAAAAAAAAGGTTAAATGAACCATTACAATGCTTTTAATTCTTTTTAAATCACTCAAAAAATAGTTAAATAGCACCAGGTGTCAGGCTACTGTTCTCATAACTAATGTGCTTTGTCACAAATGATACAAAGCTCAAATGTAGAGACTTTTTTCCTTAAAATATGTTTGGCATCTGTTGAACTGCTGCATCGGATGTGGTTTGAGCACGTTTCACTTCCGTCTTCCATTTTTTTTTTCTTCTGGACACAGTCTTCAGTGGAAAAGGTTTGTACATCCCTGCATTAGTTACAGAATACATATGAAAGAAAAATTGCTTTTAAAACGAATTATGTTTTAGACTAGTCAAACTTAGAAGAAATAAAATAAAAAAAATACGTCTTAAATTTGAACTTTATGGATACAAAGAGATTACAAATACAAATGATAATTTACGATGTTACAGATGTAGCAATAGCTACAAACTGCCACTTGGTGGCAGTATCGCCCTGAAAATATCTTGCTCCGACACCATTCTGACAGGTGTCTTGAAAGGATGAGTGCTGTAATTGAATTTTTTTTTTTTTTTACACAGGGGTTACTTTCTTTTTACAGTTGTATGGCAGTCATGAATGTTAAAATGTTACTTCATAAAATGATGCCAATGGCACGAATGAATTCACCTCACATGATGTTCTCTTGCAATGATTTGGTGTAAGTCTTTTAAATGTGCTTCCTTTTTTCATATTTTCAGAGTTTGATGTGGTTAAAGTGTGTGCTTTTGGTTGACAACCCTAAAAGGTCCGCGCTTCCATTTCACTTCCTCTCTACGATTACAAAACAAAATAGTCTTTGTCTGGAGCCCATTAAAAGTACCGGTAAATCTTTGTTGGTACACACCATATAAATATGAGCAGTTTATGGGCAAACTTAAAAATGAACTCTGAGGGCTCAAAGAGTTTCTGTTTGGGATAAAACACTTGCAACTGTCACCAGTAATGTCTCCTTCTTGCTGAGCAGTGTGCGGCATATTTTCAAACCAAAACCATAACCAGTAGTTAGTTGCATGTTTGTATAATTGTGTGAGTTGATGCAGTCCAATGAAATGCAAGTCCCCCCCCCCCCTTTCAGAAAAATACAAGTAAACTGTGTTTGCGTTTCTGATCGAGATTTTTTAAAACTAACATTTGGAGATGTTTTCCTTTTTATTGGACACACAGTATACCGGGATTGAAACTTGAATTGTTTTAAAGTGCTTGAAACCACTGAGGTCCGCCCATACCTTCTCTTCATGTTAATTTAAAAATATATAGATCATAATTGTAAGCGTATATTCAGGTACAATACGGCTGTAAGGTGCCTGATAAGAGCTCTGTGTTTGACCGGTTACCTGTGTGCGTGCGGTGATGCGCTTTGAGGTGCGAGCTCTTGGTGTACGTCTTCCCGCAGCCGACGTAGTCGCACGTGTGCGTGGCGATGCGCTTGCGGGGCCACGAGCGGCGCCCCCGCTTGGGCTTGGGCTCCTCTGGTAAGCAGTCACCGCCGGAGACCATGAGGGGATCTGCGTATAAAAAAGGGAGGTGTCACTGTTTTCGGAAGATTTTGATGCAAGGTGGTGTCAGAACGACACAGACACGCAGTGGGAAAATGACTCCAAGTCGTACAAGAAAAACAATACATTTCGTTTGCTTCACATCTGGTCTGGTTTCTGCAGCGCTACGATTAAGAGACGGTTTTGTGTCCAAGGCCGTGGGATGTCGGTTTTAATCCCTTTCAAGTGCTTGTTTTAGGCTATAATTACAACCCACCATGTTGTGTAGGCCCTATTTAAATAAAAAAAAAAGATTTCTTTGACAATCTGGTCTTTGTTAGTGTCTGCGTTTGTTTTCTTGCGACTGATGCACGGATGTTGAACATGGCGTGAGCCGCTAACCTTGGTACTGTGGCATGGCGGTGGACTGAGGGTAGGCGGTGTATCCTTGCGGTGAGCTGTGGTGGTATCCGTGGGGAGGTAGAGGAATCTGAGCGTGAGGGTGGCCCAACACCTGGTGCTCGCGGCTCAGGGGGTGATCTGGGGAGAGCGACGACGACGAGGACAGTCGGCTGCCGCCGCCCGTCATGGCGCAGCGAACCCCGTTTCCGGGGAAGCCGTGCAGCTCGAGGTGGGCGGGCCGCTGCCGGTGCGGGTCCATCGGCTGCGAGATGGAACAGTTACTGGGAGCCTCCTGCTTTATGCGGTGGCACGTAAAGGGCGGCGAGGCCCGTGAGGCGGGGCGGTCTGATGCGGCGTTAACACAAGCCTTGGGGTTGTACTCCCCCAGGTCCACTGTGGTCTTGACCACAAATTTGCCGTGCAGGCTGGTAGGGTGGAGGTACGCCGGGTCCAGTTCAGGTCGCATGAGCTCCGCTACAAAGCCTCCGGACGGCGAGACGTCACTGATGTCCGGAATGGTGTAGAGCAACTCGGCCGAGCCCTGAGGGGACGGCAGCAAGGGGTACGAGGACGAGAAGGACCCGGGCGAGCTGGGCGGTAGAGCCTGGACGGAACCGCACCCCATAAGATCGTCCTGCTGCTGCTGCTGTTGCTGCTGCTGGAGCATGGAGTTGGACAGAATGAAGTCATAGTCCAAGTCCAGGTCTGGCTCAGTGTCTTTCTTGGACATGCTGGGGCTTGTGGTGCAGGTGGCAGTTGGATGGGCTGCGTCCGAGCTTCCGGTCGTTGGCACGCTGAGTCTCTTAAGATGGGACGGCTCCTCCTTCCATCTCTAAAGGAAAGTTACAGAGGCATTCATGACATCAGCAGTGACATCACCTTGGAAGTGATTGTCAAGATTCAAAAACAAGTGTTTGTTCATCCCTTTTCCCTGAATCAGACAACTGCCCTTTGCTGTAAATTGTACGAAAAAAAGTCTATGTTCGGGACTAGTCATTTTGAACACGAACTTAAAGTACAACAATCTCCCTTTTCCCGAGAGTCCAAAGTCCAAAACCTCAAGTGTTTTCTAAGTTCCACGTCTAAAAACATATCAGATTTGGTTTGGATTGCTATCTTGAAAGGGAGGTCAGAGGTATCTTATCATCGGACAAGACACGTTGCCCCCTCAAGTATGACAAGCTCCCTTTTGTAAGATGTCACACTGGCAACCGTTTCAATGTTCCAAGTCTATAAATGGATCAAATTTGGCTAGGGCAGCTCATCCGGCTTTCAAGGGCGACGTTTGCCAAGGCACTCATGACTTGGAAACAAGCCATTGTACCCTTAACGTACAGCAATCGACTTTTTCCACATGAACAGCTCATCTCCGGAGGTAGGTAGGTAGGTGGTAAAAATCCCTGGAGCAAGTCATCGCACCCCGCAAAAGTACAATAACGTCTTCTTTCCGGAGAGTGGAATTGACTACTTTTAATCAGGCCGATCATTTGAATCCAAGGTGTCTGCAATTTAACTCTTCCGGATCCCAAAATGTTCCCAAGGCCAACAGTCAAAGGTAGAAAAGAAGTATTTTGGGGGTGGGGGACAAGCCTGACCTAATTTAATGTCAATTTGCTTGAGTCCTTGTGTTTATCGTCTCCACGGTCAGCTTTGTGAACCACTACATTGCCAACCACCCCCCAACAAATGCTTTCCATCCAATTGGGGGCATGACACGGGATGTGGTATGCTTTTGGGTCCTCACTTTTCTGTAACTGCCACTCTGATACAAACTGATCTTTGTTTTAGAAACAAGCTGATTCCAGAACACGGGAGCTCCAAAATGTTTTGGCTATTCTTGAACTTTACAGAGTCGCCACCTCAAAATCTCATTATACGTACTTTTAAGTATGGCTAAATAATCCCTAAAATTAATTTTGGGGCAAATAATGCGTGTCTCAATGAATGAAGGCACTCCATTCAAATGGATGTTATTCTTAAATGGCAAATGTTTTGGGTTTTTTGGCAAGCCTCTTAAATCGAAGCTGGAAGTCTGCACATCAGCGGCATGTCGGATGTTTTCAGTCCAACTTCGTTGTGTTCAGGCCAAGCTGTTTGGCTTGAATTCATCATTTCTTGGCAAAAGGATTTTTGAGTCATGACATAGTTTATGAGTTGATATAAAGTGATATGTGCCGACCATCTTCTTAGATTACCTTTTTTCCGAAAAGTAAGATAAAACCATCCAGCTCAAATGTGGACTCATACCATTGCTGTGAGCTCTTTATACATACATATATACGTATATGACATTATAGTGCAGCATGACAAATATTAATGTTGATTAAGCGTGACTACATAATGGGTATTATCTATTATAAATATATATATTTGTTTGTTTGGGCCAGCTGTGGCATCTTGCCTATACATTACACTGGCCTGTGGTATGCCCAGACATGTTTGTGCTTTACTGTACTACTTTTTTTCCCCATTTTTGCATAAAGCAATAAGTTTGAAGGGAGAAAAATGTACTAGCATAAAAAAAAAACATCATTTGGGTTAAAAAGTTTCTCCAAACTGGTGTTTTAATGATGACAGAAATAAACAAAGTTATGTCGGCCATTACTGACTGGTCTAACCTGCCACTGGTGTTCCAATAAAATATTTAAGCCACGTCTATATTAGTGTGATATCAAATTTTTGCAAAGTTTGTGTAGCAGGGAGTGAACTATATTCGTGTTTTGGATCTTGAGTTGGAAAAAGTTGCCTCACAGACATACACCAGTCCTCTCAAGTAGATAGTTGTAACTTGGACTCACTCCTAAGGTAGTTGGGTGACTTGTACTCACTAGGTTGGCACTTCCTATGGTTTTGGTCTTGACAGCGGGGCTGGTGAAGGTGGAAATGGATGGCAGCAGGGTCCCTCCTAAAGCCATCTCGACGTCATTTGGAGGCTGCCTAAAGATAGACGACAAAATAAAATAAAAAAAAAATAAAGTGCCGGTCCTGATGTTGTAACTCCTCGGTGGTGGTGGTGGTGGTCCTCCCCCAAAAAATAGTCACCTCATTCACAAGATGTTCTGATCGAACTTGGAAGAAGTTAGAGGGTAAAAAGTAGGTAGCCCTTCCGCCGTGTGTCAAGACATGCTGCGAAAGAAGAAGCCCCTCGCGCGTGGGTTAGTTGTTATTTTTGTTGTGGGAAGACGCGAAGGCGCCGGCCGTGTTTGCGGGCGGTGGGGGTTGGGAGGGGGAGGGGGGGATTCCCTCGCTGGCCACGCGCAAAAGGAGCGGTGGCAGCGCGTCTTGGTGCGTGTGTAGAGTGAGAGTTGCGCGCGGAGCCGTTCCTCTTTAAAGCGCCGGCTGAGGCTCCGCCCCGTTGTGACGCGAGTCTGCCTGTTGTTTGTATTAGCAACGGTTGCCATGCGCACTGTGCGCTTGGTCCTGTGAAAAGTGGCTGAAGATCTGTAAAAAGTTATTGACCGGAAGAGTAGTTTATTGTATAGACGGGATAACTCGGTCGCTTGCTGCCGTATTTACACGTTTACGTCGGGCGCCATGTTCGAATATAGTGAGCTTCGGTTTCGTGAGGACGCGGTGGCTGGCCGTTGCACTTGTTTCTGACAAAAACAAAAAACACAACAAACTCACCAGAGATGATGGTTATTAAATGTGATGTGTTCTGCCGGTAAAAGTTGGTTGAAAAAAAAAGTTTTCTCTCACTAACCAATCAGAGGGCTGAAAAATGATGACGCCATCGAGAATCGTGAATTAGATCTCTGACAGGTGAAAGAAACAGTCCCTATGCAAATATAGCTTTCGTTACATGGGCCAGTACTATACATTCTTGAAGGGTAGGGCAGATTAGAGTGACATGGTAGCAAATAGAGGCTAAAATTTGATTGGGCAAAAAAAAAAAAAAAAAACTCGATCCATTTACAGCACTACTGGAAGTAGCGCAGCTAGAAAATTATGAATATGATTTATTCAAACAAATATTAGAATGTAGGATGTAATTGACTGTTGGCCTACATACTGTATATACCTTGGATTATTAACGAAGGCAGCACAGAACATCCGTGGAGTGAACGAGATTTTTTTTTTTTCTGTAATGGCTTATTTGGCTGATGCGAGCAGTGACACAGTTGATTGATAAGCAAATTATAACATTACCACAAATCACCAATTTTGCATAAAAATGCAAAATATCTGCCGATCAGATCCAACCGTTCAGATCTGTGTCAAGTCTAATCGATACTATACTGTTATTGAAAGCAGGGTCACATAGGTCAAAATCGTACTTTGTCATCAGAAAGCCATCACATCAATATTGGACGTTTGCGTATCAATCCTGTGTCGTGATAAGATGATACATCACGGTATCGCAATGTTTTTTATGTTTTTTGTTTTGTTTTTTTGTGACACACACCCTTCAACAAACTTCAATGCTAACTTGTCATTGGAATTACTTGGACATCGGACAGCCATAAATATCCTTCAGGTATCGATACTGTACCAGAAGAGAAATTCCAAATTCCTATCACCTGCAAAAAAAAAAAAAAAAAAAAACAAAAAAAACCAAGAGACTGACTAAATTTGTGAGTTATGAAAATCTGTCATGAGAAAAACTCACCCGGGGAGCTATCACAATGGCTGCGAGCGCTTTGCAGTGCTGCGTTTGAACTGGTTTTGAAGTGCTTGTGTTTGCTCAGAGCTGGTGAGCTAACACAAGCCTCTTTCTCTCGCTCGCTCACTTGCATGCGCTCTCTCTCTCTCTCTCTCTCTCTCTCTCTCTCTCTCTCTCTCTCTCCCCCTCTCACATACACACCGTCTTTCTTTGCGACACAATTATGATTGGCCAAGTTTTGAGAGCAAACAAAAGTCTCCGCCGCTCATCCTGCTTGCATCAGGATCTTGTCTGTTGGGGCATGTCAACAAACATGCCGTCATACTAACTGGACACCCTGGAAGTGTCATTGTATTATTATTATTATTATTATTATTATTAATTTTTTTAAGATTACCTGAGTGCGCGGCACTTTTTTTGTTGGCCAACATATGCAAGACAGTGGTGGGAAAGGAACATTTTGCGGAAGAGAAAATATACCCCGCGGAGATACACATGATCTATTAGGTAATCTGTCTAAACATCCCATTAGGATGTCTCCTGTAAACACGCCGCACTGGCTTTACCCCGACAACACTCCCCAAACTAGCTCAATGTGGGCTATGGCCATGATAGCCCGCTTCTTTATGTGGCCAGATAATGCTTTTTTTTTTTTTCTGGAAAAGGATCCATGCATTGTACGGCAAAAAGAAGGGTGAGGGAGAAGAGCGAAAAGAGATAAAGGCTGAGAAAATGACACCACTGTCTTGCTGTGTCTTCCATCCTCCTTTCAACACAATGATGGAGGCGTCTTGTGTCCCACTGAGGAAAATGACGTGTGAAGACAACGGAACTGTGACATAAAGTACACATTTCCGCAGGGAAATCTGTCCCTCAAGTCAAGAGTTCAAATCCTGCGTCATGCGTGACGTCACGCGTTACCCCTGCTGCAACGCCAGGTTTGGTGTGGCTTTTCCTTCAACGAGTTGTATTAACACAAGAAGGAATGTCATTTTTTTTAGGGTGGTTCAGTTCATATCAGTAGATCAATATTGATTTGGTGAAGTGATATTTTGCTCTGCGCAACTTCCCACTTTGAGATAATTGGAAGCGTGATGACAAGTGCTTTCGACACAAAGTAGTGTTGACTGTGAATGTCGGGCGTGACACCAGCGATCTCCAACCGCCGATATTATTTTCCGATTTCCAGCAGTGTGCCTACCTCACGATTGAGGCCAAAGGTGGAATTTCGGCTTGTGCGTTTTCTCCTGCTTCCTCGCGCTTTCCGAAAAGATGAATTCCTTTATTTCCTACGGGAGAACTCGTTTTGAAATCGGTCGTCGGTCGCAACTTATCCAACGGGGCGTTTTCCAGTTGTTTGATATGTTGCCTCAATTGTTCAACAGAATCCAAAAATAAGGTGACTTCACATGAAATTGTGAAGCTGCCTTTTGAATAACATTGAGAACGTTTTAATTTGGATTTTGATCCTTGGCAGAGGTCTCATCCTGGAAAGTTGCGGAGAAATGACTTGTGACAAGACAACGACAGTATCAGCAATCCCAATTGGCCCGGAGAGCAAATGCCGATTCGCATCATCAACGGTCTGATTTACCATTCCTTGTTGCCTTGCCTTGGCGCTGTCTAACTCTCGCGATTCCGGAGCCCACCCAGCATGAATCATATTTTAGAGCGCAACAAGCCAAATATCCACCATAAATTCATGCGCAGGAACGAGATGTGGAGAGATTGAGGTCATTACTGTATTATTAAATTAGAATACTTACACTTATTATTCTTCCGACAAGTGAAATTTCTTTTTTCGGGGGGGCTAACTTGCACTATAACTCTGCAAATTTGGCAGGCGTGTCTATTCTGGTCAGAAGAGACATACTTTTGGGTTCCTGGACAAGACCCTTCAAAACCTGGAAAGTTACCCATGCCCAGAAATGAGCCCTTTTGGTTTAAGGGCGGCCATTTTGGGCAAATACCACGGCTAGTAATTTGCCAAACTCCTTGAGAGATGGCCGTTGCGAAATTGCCAAGCTTTTTCTTTTTTTTTTTTTTTTTTTTTTGGGCCTTCGGCGTCTCATGTTTCCAGAGAATGGCGTCAACAGTGGACGATCGTTTGGAGGATCCACCATGAAAAAGGGGGCGCAAGGGCCCGCTCGTCGCTGCTCGAAGCTTTTATTATGTTATTATTATTACAGCGGCATGAATAACACTCTGTTAAGAGGTGTAACATTTTCCATTCATTAGCCGTGACATGACACGCGCGGCGTCTTATCACATCAAGTTAGCTCAGGTGTTAGCAATTATACTAATGCGTCCCCTCTAATGCTTTTGCCGGTGAACTGTAAACAGTGTCAGTGGTCACCGAGAACATTTGAGTAGCAGCAGATTAGGACTGAAGATATTGAAGCCAGCATTGGGCCACTCCGGTCTGGATGCCGCTCTGTAATTATTAGAAATAGTTGTCATTCTTGCACTAATTCGTGAAAGCCGAGTCGCTGCCTCGCGCGGACCCCCTCTAACGCTCTATGTCAAGCCAATTTAAAAAAATAAAAATAGACAAAAAAAAGGACAAACGGCTTTTATTTTTTATTTTTTAACTGAATGAAGATTATCTATATTTTTTTAAAGTACCACTATTTCTATTTTAAAACCATTTTAGAGGCATTTGAAATGAATGGAAATACAGTTAAAATAATCAATACTAGAGTGGGCCAAATGACCAGTGACTAATTATCTGTGTGTTTCTAACATAGGTGGTGAATAAAGATGATTGTGATTGGGATTCTTTTTGTTCTTCAAACGTTGGCACTCTGAACGTCCGCCCGCTTGAGGCTGGTGGTCCATCCGATGCCAGCCAAATGTTTCAAATCACGTTTCCCGTTGTGCGCCTGGGTGGCTCAAACAAACATTCAGGGAACACGCACTTAAAATGTGGAATGAGTTTTGAATTGCGGTATTGAGTGTGAGGTATGAGCAGGGTTGATGCCGGGACCGCAGAGTGCTGTCACGTCTCAGGGACGAAGCGCCGCGGCTTCCGTTGGCATGACAGGACGTCGCGGAGCGAGGGATCTCCCGCCAGGCCGCCGGCTGTCCGGCCTCTGCCTGCTCCGGGATTCCTCGCTCGCCTTAAATATGCGGGTTATTTTTAACCGCAGACGTCACGGAGCCCGACGCCCCCGCCCCTTTCGCTGCTCCAATGTTTCCTCTCCGCCAGGAGGGGAAATGAAGAGGGAGCTGGACTTCCTGGTCACATGACACGGGACAGGCAGCAGGAGGAGAAAGTTTTTGCAGGCTTGGACTCTCTCACCGGGCATGTTTGTGATGCATCATCCAGGGAATGAGGGTACATCGGCAGACAGCGGGGGTGTGTGGAGACAGTGGTGATGGTGGTGGGCGGGAGGGGATGTGGCCAGGATTAGAAGCCTCTAAAAAGCTAAGCCCCCGCGACTCCATCGAGGTTGAATGCTGTCTGTCGGACGCGGGAGAGTCAGGGACTTCCCATGAGCTCACCTTATTGATTCAACTTGGACGGCGTCGCCGCTCAGCGACGTCACAGAATTGATTTTTTTTCTCTTTTTTTATACGACTTCCAACCCGCTTTCACCTTCATTTTTAGGCCAATGCACTTCCCGTTGCTACGACGCGTGTCTTCAAGGTGCGCCGGGATTGACGATTCACATTTGGGCCCGATTAAACGTCTCCTTCAGGCCAACGATGAT